ACGAAAGCGTCGAAATTAGTTGGAATCTGCCGATCCAACCATCGTTTGCTCACTTCGAGGCGACGAAAATTTCGCATATAATAAGGCATGAAGAAGAACAAGAGAAGGAAATCAACTTCATTTCCTCCCAAAGTGTCCTTTCTCATCCCATTGTCCCTCCCGAACATATGATTCCCCGCACTTTTTGTTCCAGTAACACGAACAAAAAGAAGTATAAATCAAAGAAGAAGAAGCATCCAAAGAAAATTTTTTATGAAGAAAATGTTATGACGATGGCTGATGGACAAGATTTTTATTCCCAACCGTCAGAAAACAACAATCAATATACAAGTGAGTCCAAACCATTAATTAATATAACGTGTCGTGATAAGAAGTTTGTAGGGCTCATTGATAGTGGTGCTGCAGTGTCTGTGGTGTCGAAGGACACAGTTAATAGAATTCATCAACGAATTGATGAAAGCGATACGAAGTTGAAAGCTGTCGATGGTAAAGAATTGTCTGTTATAGGGAAAGTTAACCTTAAATTATTGATAGACAATGTGTTATTTATTCACGATTTTCTTGTGGTAGAGAATATTAGGCATAACCTCATCTTAGGACAGGATTTCTTACTTCGAAATAATGCGATAGTAGACTTTTATAATGAACAATTAATAATCAAACATATTAAGTGCAAGTTTAAAAGACAATATATACAAAAGAATAATGAAAGGAATAGTGATAATTCGGTATATGATGAAAATTTATATTATGCCGAATAGGTTGATAGTATTATAATATTGTGTTACTAATGAGATTTTATTTCAGTTTATTGTTTATATGAATGTTTTAAAGCATTGGTGGTATGTAAATAAGGTTCAATATAATAGTCATTTTAGAATTTTATTTCAAAAGCATATTAAATATAACTTTGTCATTTTATTAGAAATTTTTTTCAATACACATATCATAAGGAACTTTTACACATTTTGTTTATGACAGATCAATAGGTAGTCTCATTAAAGTATTTTCATTTCTTTTAATTGTTAGCTTTAGTGTTATTTGTTGAGTAGGTGGATTATAGATATGGTAATAACCATAAGAATGATAGGTAACAGGTTCGATTCTCTGTTCAACTTGGAATTATTCAATTGACTCTGAATATGATCATTGATAGGATTAATTCAGTATTAGGATAGAATATATATAGTTAATAATGTATAATAGGATAATATAGGTCCATAAAGAAAATTCCCTTATTATAAAAAAGGAAACGGGTTCGATTCCCTGTAAGTTTAAAAAATAAATAAATGAATAATAATGTTATACTTTGAAAATTTATCCAACTATGGAAAAGAGGCTATAAAGATTTATCATAAATGTTGTCTTGAATATTAACTTACCCGACTGAAGAAAAATGGTGTAAAGGATTTTACTAATATTTTCTTGATTGTTTTATGTACTACCACATGATGCGGACTTCCCGAGAGAGAGCAGGCTGGCGCTCATGCAGACGTCAGCGATACTGACGATGATCCACCCTGAAGATGATGGAGACACCCTCTACGAATTCGCGTCGTTTTCGTTTCAATTTGGTCGCGTCGCGTTCGTCAAAATCGTCACTTGTAGTAGTTTGACTTGGGGGTAGGGAACCCTTAGTATTCCATGGGAATTGGGTTTAATCTTGTTTGATGCTAGATGTCCTTACCCAAAATTTCTATTACGTTTGCGCATCATGGGTGTCTAATAAAGTACAAGACAATAAAGTGGTGGACCACGTCTGTATCTTTATTAAAGATGTACGAAAGTAAACATTAATTATAAATTCTTTAGGTTTTGCTCAAATCCAGTTCAATGTTTACGAATCTTAGGAAATAGTTTGAATTTCGTTTCGTACATCTACTTAGTATGGGAAGTAATGAAGTTTCAAAATATAAATTTTCTTGATATTTAATGGTTTAATAAATGGGATAGGGTAAAGTTTTGCTGATAGATGGGATAAAATAAAAATTGCTTGGGTAATTTAAGGTATAGCTAGGGTTAGCTTTGTTTTTTGTTTTTGCCGACTGATGTCGATGTAAAGTAAAGTAAAGTTAAGGTTAGGAGGGAGATGTGCGAGGGATTTTGTTAAGGTTTTGCTCCCGTAAAGTCTTTGCAATAAAACTTTGCAAACAGTTAGGGTTCTTTTCCCGTAAAGTTTTTTTTTGCAAGTTTTGCAAACTTATTGTGAGGGCTAGTCTGTAGTAAAGGCCACCTCCCAGTTGTATTTATGTCCTTAAGCAGGTAGGGATTTTAGATAGGACTGTCGAACCCTCTCGATGTAGTAGGTAGGAAAAAAAAATTTTGTTCGGTCATCTGGTATGACAAAACAATTTTTTTTTTTAGAGGTGCCGGAGGGATGTAACGTCCTTGACGTTATAACCTCCTTGTTTAGGTAAACTCTTTGCTTTTGCAATGCCTACGGTTGGCAGTTATATTAAAAAGATAATGTCATGATTTTAAGATTTGAAATAAGGAATCGTCTGAAGGTTCCATTCTAGATTAGATCTTCAGGCACCAAGAACTTCCTCTCGTATTTAGATAAAATTTCTTTATATTCGCCTGAATGATAAAAAGAAATAAATAATTTATCTCTACCAGTATCGTTTAATTAATAAGCACGTCCCCAGGTTCTATCCATTCTGGGTAGAACGCTATAGTACCTATGATTGTAATCGTCAACTTGTAATGGTCCCATTATATCTAAACTAATTCTTTCGAAAGACGAATTAGGGGTAGTCGTTAATGACATAGGTTCTTTAATATATCTATTGGTGTATTTATTTATTTGACATAATTAACGACATCCTTTGTAATGCCAAAAATAGTATTTTTTAATATTGTTTAGCATTCTATTTATCCCAGCATGCCCACTGGTGGGTAACAAGTGGAAGTCATTTAATATAACTATCTTTTCGTCCTCATTTCTGATACGCTTAACATCTTTAGTTATCAATAACCGCGGCCGACTCAACTTTAATTTTTTAATTGTACTTGCAAGTAACTTAATATGTCCTTCATATAATTTATTTTTGATAATAAGCAATTCTAAGATATTTAACTTACAACAAAAACTCTCTGAATCTCTCGCTAACGCTTCTACAGCTGATAGCGATCGAGCATTTAGATAAATTATTGACCGCTTTGGTACATATACACAATTTCCACTTGAGGACGTAATAACTTCGTCGTTTCCTATTTCGTCATATTTGACCGAGTGACTAAAACATAGTTCAATAATATCCGGTGGTGGCTTGAGAATTTCCACGGCCAAGGGGTGATCAGTCCCATGACTATGCAAATTTTCAGGCCTACTATAATTCTCTAAGTCACAGTTTTTGTTACGACTATTTTTTTTTGTTTGTGCTCTAGTAAGTACTGATACTAAGTGTTCACGCATATTTTTTAAATCATCAGATGTCACCGGGATGCGACTCAATGCGTCTGCAGCCGCATTGTGTCGTCCTGGGACATAGCCTATCTCAAAATCATATTCCTCTAAATATAAACGAAATTTAGTTTGCCTACTGGAAGGATCTGTCATAGAAAATAAATAAATAAGAGGCTTGTGATCGGTTAGAATTTGGAATTTCCTGCCATATAAATAAGGTCTAAAATGCCTGACTGCCCAAACTATGGCTAATAGCTCTTAAGTCTATAATCGGATATCGCGTCTCAGCGGACTTTAAACTTCTACTTATGTATGCGTATGCTATAACTCTATCATTTCCATTGGATAATATTGCACCCAAACCTGTTCTTGAGGCATCAGTCTGCAATTTAAAAATATTATTTTCTGAAAAAAACGGGATAATCCAAAACTGGGGGTTTTATTAAAACAGATTTTAATTTATTGAATGCTTCGTCACAATCAGCTGTCCAATTAAATGCAACATTCTTTTTACAAAGGCTATTTAGTGGATGCGCAATTTCAGCGAAATGTAAAATAAATCGTCTATAATAATTAGCGAAGGCAACGAACGTTCGGACCTCGTCAACGTTAGTCGGTGTCGGATAACTTTGCAAGGTTGTTATTTTGCTTGGATCAGGAAATATGCTTTTACTTGTTATTTTATGTTCTAAGTATACCGTTACAAACACACTATACTGAGTACATTTAATATGTTTTTATTTACTTTATCACTCACCTTTGCAAAAAAAATGTAGTAGATTGGATTTATTCTTAGTCGCTGCTTGCAATTCTTCTTCAATTCTCTTAGAGACAATAATATCAAGTTCCTTGTGGGACTTTGATTGTAACTTATAATTACGCTACACGTCGTTAACTAACTTCTGCATTTCATTTTGTACTTTTGTATTTGTATGAGATTTTTTAAAACTCGAATAAATTTTGGTATAACTTGGATTTGTCTATTTGAAACGACATCTTAAACAATTCCACTTTGGCGAAAGAGGATCAACGGTAACGCAAACATTAATTTGGTATGATTTGCTCAAATCGTCAATCGTACCGAAACGAAACAATAGATTGACGGAAGAAATTTTGACAAGAGGGTAGCGCGCGGTAATTCTCCCACTCGCTTCTAAGCGAGTACCTAAACGTATTCATTATTTGTGGGAATCACCGAATATGTGTTCGGTTTTCAAACATAGACAATGTGTGGATTGCCAGTGTGTAAAAAAAATAACTACTGCTGAACAGTGCTGACGTAATCACTATCTCGACCCCCACCCCCCCAGGTCATCAAAAATAAGCAAAGTAAAGACCCCCCTGCCCAGGGATATAGGGTATAGCGTTTACGTAATACTTGAACCGCCCCTAACTTCAAAACCATTAAAAATAAATTCAACTTTAATTGGTCTAATGGAGGCAAAAAAGACATTAATTAATTTATTGTTATTTTTCTGTTAAATCGTTTCTCCCAATCTTAAAATATAAGCAGTTTTAAAAAATTTGGAAAATACCCTATTGTGTTTGTAGCATGAATTATAATCACTTTATTAAATCTCTTTTTTTTAAGAATGAAGACTTGACTACAGAAATAAAATTAAAAATCGAAGATCATTGGAGAAAAGATGTTGTAAGCTTACAAAGAACAGATAGTAATACAGAATCTTTCTATGTCTTACCAATGTTCCCATACCCATCTGGAAATCTGCATATGGGCCATGTTAGAGTTTATTCAATATCTGATACGATTGCAAGATTTCACAAATTGGATGGCAAAAATGTAATTCACCCTATAGGATGGGATGCATTTGGACTACCAGCAGAGAATGCTGCTTTAGAACGAAAAATTCCACCTCATCGGTGGACAATATCAAATATACAATCAATGAAAATGCAGCTTTTACGATTAGGATTTGACTTCGATTGGGAACGAGAAATATCGACTTGTGATCCACAGTATTACAAATGGACACAATTTATATTTCTTAAATTATTTGAGAAACAAATGGTATACCAATGTAAGGTAAGTGCATTTTTTTATTGCACGCGCAGTTACAATTTTTTTTTTCGCTGCTCCTGAGTAAATAAGACAAGTCACTTATTTGTAATATCCGTACCCTGCTTTTTTCTGTTTTGCGTTATCCGTAACATTGTTAAAATCACTGTGTAGTGAATTTATTTTGCTGTCGCAACTATCCCATTACGACAAACATGTTTTAAGTAGCAATGTCCAAATACCTAAAATGTGTATGGAGCAATATACCTAAAGCAGGTTATTCACGCTACAATGGTCTCAAGGAATGTCAATTGATATTGCTAGTTTGATAAACATTCTCTTGATATTTCAGGCCAAAGTCAATTGGGATCCCATAGACAAAACTGTTTTAGCAGATGAACAAGTAGATGAATTTGGCTGTTCTTGGAGGTCAGGTGCAAAAGTTGAATCTAAATTTTTAACTCAATGGTTTATTAGAACAACGCAATATGCCAAGGATTTGTTTGATGGCTTAAATAGTGATATTTTAGAAGATTGGAAAGATATAATTAACTTGCAAAAACATTGGCTTGGTGAATGCGATGGAGTTGTAGTGAAATTTGATATTAGGATAGGCAAAACTAAAAAACCTATTGAAATATGGACATCTGAGCCTTATAAACTTATACATGGTCAATTTATTACCATAAAGAAAACTAATATTCTCTTACAAGACATTGAAAACATTAATAAAATGGACTTTAAATGTTTTAATCCAATTACAAATTGTGAAATGCCAGTTTATATAACGGACGACGCAAATTATGCGCCAGAGAGAGATGCTTATATAGCTTCTCCTGCTAATAGTAATGAAGATTTGAAGCTGGCCAAATCAATAAATGTGTCTCATATAAATTTTGAGGATATTGATATAGTAAATGAAAACAAACGAGCTTTAGACATAGCACAAAGAAAAAACATTGGGGGTTATCTTGTCAGTTCTAAATTAAAAGACTGGCTTATATCTAGACAACGTTATTGGGGTACACCTATACCTATAATTCATTGTAATAAGTGTGGTCCTGTGGCAGTTCCTTACAAAGATCTACCCGTAACACTGCCACATTTACCATCTTTAGGTTCTGATATTCAGACATTAGACAAGTTAGACGAATGGATTAATTGTGAGTGTCCAAAATGTCATAAAGATGCGAAACGAGAGACAGATACAATGGATACATTTGTAGACTCATCGTGGTATTACTATCGATTTTTGGACCCTGAAAATTATGAGAGACCATTTGACAAAATAAAGATCTCTGGAAAAACTCCTGTAAATATATACATTGGGGGTAAGGAACACGCCGTATTGCATTTATACTATGCTCGCTTCATGAGTTATTTCTTCCATTCATTAGGATGGATTTCATATCCGGAGCCATTCAAAAAATTAGTCGTGCAAGGGATGGTAATGGGCCAGTCATATAAATTGAAATCTTCTGGAAAATATATTCCTCCTGATACTGTAGAGCAAGTTGGAAAAGAATATATAGAGAAAAATAGTGGAGAGATCGTTCTAAAACAATGGGAAAAAATGAGTAAATCAAAGTATAATGGAGAAAATCCTGAAAGACTTATATCTTTATATGGAAGTGATACCACGCGGCTTCTCATTTTAGCTGATGTTCCACCCGAAACCAGTCGACGTTGGTCAGATGCCAGTGAGTAAACAAAATACTTAACCTATCAAAATAAAACTATGATTTGTCCCGTTTAACGACTGCACCATTAATAGTAAATGGTGTAGTCGTTTGCACCATTAAGATTAATACTACTTTAATACATATTTTAATCTTTTTAGCATTACCAGGGGTTTTAAATTGGCAACGTCGACTCTGGTTAACAATACGAGACTTTTTAAAACACAGAAACTCAATTGGTTTTGATACTATACAATTGACTGAAGCAGAATATATTAAGCACGAGGAGACGATCTGGAATGCAAAAAATTATTTTATTGCTACCACTACTTATCATTTTAAACATACTAACAAACTAAGTGTTGGCATATCCAGATTACAAAGTTTAACAAACACATTAAGAGTGGGTATTTATCATATAAGCTATTATTATTATTTGGAGTGTTTACCGTTAATATTTAATCATTGATATTTTTTAGAAAAACTTGCCACCCACAGTAATTGCTAAAAGTAAAGAATTTGAAGTAGCATTGGCTTCTTTGATTGTAATGTTAGCACCAGTAACTCCGCATTTTTGCTCTGAGCTATGGGCGGGATTCGTTTCAGCACCCCATAGAATTTCTAGTCACGAATCTATACAGTGGGACAAAAACCTTTTTGAGCAGCGGTGGCCTAAAGTAAATAAGGAATACAATCTGTCGCTTCTTTGTAAGGTAAGACGGTCAATGACGGACTTAAATCGTAGTACAACTGTTAATTGTTGTTTTGTTAATTAATTCACTAGCGACTTCGTCCGCGTGGACTTAGTGATTCAGGTAGCAAATTTTTATCAAATCTGCTTTTTCATCTATCTGCTTACTATTTAAAAAATGCTAGTATTTAACTGCAAATTAAAAAAATGGCATTTTGTATAAAAAATAATTCCCAATCCTAAGTAAAAAACTTATTGCACAGCAAAATAGTCACCTCAAAATATTGCTATATTATTAACAATTTAAGTTCGTGATGCATCGCTATTTATTTAAAACTAATTTTTTTTTAAGAATACATAGCTTGTATGCAATGCATAACAACTTGCATCGTGGTGTAGTCAGTTGTTGGGATATCTGCTGTAAAAATGAGGTATAGTATAGGGCCCAAGATACTGCCCTGAGGGACACCTGATTTTATTTCGTGCATTTCTGAGAGATACTTCACTTGGCAGCATCTTTTATCTAAGTAGGATTTAAGTATTCGGAATAGACAATGCGGGAGTTGCTTCTTTAGCTTGAACAGGAGGCCGTCATGCCATGCCTTATCCAACGCTTGGCTGATATCCAAAAAGATTGCAGACCAATATGATTTGTTTTCAAGGCATATCTGCTAATGGTGTCAATTATACGGTGTTCCTGTTCAATTGTCCCGTGGTTTTCCCGGAATCCAAATTGGTGGTTCGGTAATGCTGTACTTAGATGTTCTTTCATCCTGTTAAGCAATATCCTCTCAAACAGTTAGCCAATAAATGGTAGCAGGCTGATAGGTCTTTACGAATTTGCTTCGTGTGGGGGTTTACCGGGTTTCGGTACCATGACTACATGTGCAATTTTCCATTGTCCAGGGAAATGTTCGAGTCTTAAGGTGGCATTAAAGATGTTAACTAATTTCATTAAACCTTTTTGGGGCAGGTTGTCCTTTACCGGTCCTTTTTGGAGTAGCAGAATTGGCGGCAATGTGGATAGTCATATTAAGTTGTTCCAGTTGTCTTTTAAGATCTTCTATTGTATTAATTTTGGTCTTTAGCTCTGTCTCTGTCGTGATTCTATGTTTATAGATTGTCAAGTCCGTAGTGTTCAAGTTGTATATTCTTGGGGACGGTGATACAAAATTAACTGGTGTAGTGACTTCGTGGTTCTATATTTAAGTAGTTACTACGTTTTTAACAATAAAAAAGTCCAATAAGTCTGGGATTCTTTGTCTGTCGGTAGGCCAATAGGTAGATTCTCCACCGGAAAGACATTCTAATTTCACCTCTTCTCTCGCTCACGTGATAATTGTTCAAAAATTGTTTTATATTTATACTTTATGATTTTTAGTAATATTATCAACTACTTACTTTTTTGTTGTCAGTATAGGAAAATCAATGGCAATATTCATGTTATATCCACATGCCAATAATTGCTACTTTCATAATATCAAATAGCCTATTTTAAAAACAGTTTAAATAAGAATGCACTCTTCAACATGTTGTCAAGATACAGAACTGTTTATGCTAATTTCAGTAAAAAAACCTAAGGTTCCCTTGAATTGATATAATTTATTTCGGAACTACATACTTGGAAATCGAACACCCGCTATTTCTGACTGATAAATAGACAGCCGTCTATTACTCCTGTATTTTCTATTAAAGAACTCGTGTTTTACATTTGATTGATACTTCTTCTGTCCGTCCACAAGTACGGTAGCTGCTTACTACTGCAATATCTAAAAAGGTTGTTTTTGTTATTTATTGTTTCAGGTCGATGGAGCTGATAGATGTGACTTGAAAATAAAGGCTGCTGACCTTGAAAAACTGGATTCCAAAAATGCGATAAATATGGCAGTGAGACAAGATGCTATTGCAGACCGAATAAAAGCGGGTATATCGAAAACTAAGTATGAACTTTACCCGGGATGTAGAGCTATATTGCATATTTTTACAAATCGAACGCAAAAAAGTAAAGAGTCAAAAGAGATGGCAAATAAACAATGAATCTATTTAATGTTCTGTATAGCATATGAGTAAAGTAGCGTGTAATAGCAATAACACAACTTGAAAAGTTTGGCTGGAATTGACTTCTGAATCGATTATAATAAAAAAAACTATGTGACAGTGGTTTGTACGCCGGGTTTATGGTGTCGCCTACTCAAGAGGTCCCGGGTTCGAATCCCGGTGGGGGCAGAAGTTTGTGTAATGAAAACGCGCATTTGTACTCCAGTCATAGATGTTTAATATGTATTTCTATATTAATATACTGTATTGAGAAAGTGTTGTATATATTTTTAATGCCATATTTTTTATTTATTATATTTACATATTAGTATACTTATATAATGTACAGAACCCCTAGCACGAACCATTATCGAATTCGAATAGTTTGCAAACCGAAATGTCAATGTCAAATTTTGTATGGAAACTTGAACAGCAGCGGCACAAAGTACGTAACGAGAACTAAAAATCAGTACAGATTTGACAATGACATTTCGGACTCGCAAACGTTACGAATTCGATTTTGGTTTGTGCTACGGGTACTGTATATGTATTGTATCCGTTACCCTAGTATCCCATAACGCAAGCCTTAAATAGCTTCCACACGATACAATTTTACGTCCAATTTGATTAGATTGACAATCGAATTCTGTTGTGTGGACGGAAATATGAAATTGAAGGTCATTGGATGGTCGGTATCGCCCGATTCGGGATTGCCCAATCAAATTGGGTGGTGTGGACGCTAGCGGGCCAATTTTTTAACGTAGTCACTGTGCAAGCGGCGTTCAGAGCGGGTGTGTGCGTTGACTTGTCTTTTGAGAAGAAGATGGAGCAACATGACGACAATATTATGTCTATTCGATCTGAACGGGAAGTAATGGAGGAGATTTTAGATATATGTTAAGACTTGATATGCCTTTGGAATGTGTCTAACCCATTATATAAAAATAAACAAGCAAGGCATAATTCCTTAGAGATTTTGCGGAATAAGTGGAAAAATATTGATAAAAATATTACTGTTATAATTTTTATTATTTTTAAAGCATGTAACTGCTTGATGTTTAAATCTAAAGAAAATATAGCTAGAAAAAATTCCACGCCGACCAGGCAGTTATTTGTTATTGAAAATAAAAAATCATTTAATTAAATTTATATTCTACTCAATGATATGCGCGCATGCTGGGGTAAAAAAGAAATAATATTATGTATATTTTTTTTATTTCTTAAGCATGTAATTGCTTGATGTTTAAATCTAATGAAAATATAACTAGAAAAAAATCCACGCGGACCAGGCAGCAGACAGGACTCGAACCCGCACCCTTCGCAATCTGGGCGAATGCACTGACCAATTATGCTACCGCGGCCCTCACGGACCGCGTCGAAATTCTTCCAGCCATTCTTAAGTTGCAAGGCAGCGCCATCTCTTCGGATTAAAGGTAGTGTAGGTAACCCACAATGTCAAATGAATACTTTTACAAGTATTAAACATTTGAAAAAAGAAATAGCAATCATAGTTATATTTTTTATTATTTTTAAAGCATGTAACTGCTTGATGTTTAAATCTAAAGAAAATATAACTCAGTTATATTTTAAAGGGTTTTCGAAGGGTGCGGGTTCGAGTCCCGTCTGCTGCCTGGTCCGCGTGGATTTTTTTCTAGTTATATTTTCTTTAAAAATATTACTCTTTAAGTATAACTATATTTAAGTTTATTAATTGAGTCACTTAAATATAATATAACTACATTTAAGTCCTCAATTGCTTTCTTTTTAATAACCATTGTTTTGTCCACAGTCTTCTTTTTCTTTTTTTCTCATCTACATTTGTAGTTAGAGCCAAGATTAATCCAAATTTTTGCTTCTTGGTAAGAGGCATCCTAATACAAACAAGTCCGTTCAGCAGAGGCAACAAATAAAACTGAAATTGGCGATCTTGTTGTGTATGTGTAGACGGACGACCAGATTGTACCCAATTCAATCGGCAATCAGATTGGCAATCAAATTATGTCGTGTGGAAGGGGTATTACAGTGCTTACTTTGGGGCTAGGCTAATTAATGCGAGTGTTGGAAATATTTATTATTATATTAGTTAAACGAAAAAATAATTTAATAAAAGAATATGATACATATCGCAGAAAATTTTCTACCTATGTTTTTTTAAAACCAGCGTATCTGCAATTTATTACTCATCATAAATATTAAAATTACATAGTAAAATCATTATTTTTACTTCATTATTTTAAGAGAAACAACTAATGAAAATAGAAAATTAAAAAGACAAAATCATTTTTGTTTCTTAGGTTTTCACGCACATCACTCATTAATTATTCTCATTCTCATTTATTTTCACGAAGCAAACCTGAAAAGGCTGCGAACGTCAATAAATAAATAAAGTTTCGTGCATTAACCCGTTAAAAAGTAGTTTTATTTAATAAAAACACTTTATTTTTATTTTAAAATCTGTGGTTTTACTTACATATGTGTTCAAAACAAAATTCCGCTACAAACTGAATCACATTTGCTCTCCTGCACGCCAAGCACCGCCATTTTACCCGCCGCCCCAATACGAACTTTTAACGTAACGGGCTCAGTCCACGTAGCATGATCCAGATCACACCAACCGTTTTTGTTTCACCAGATGGCGCCACTGTTGAGTGAGGTCGTGAAGTGTAACTTTTAAAATACGCGTGTGAAATTAAATTTAACATTTAAATCTTAATTCTATACAAGAGAACCGTATTGTAAACGTAATCGGCCATGCCACAGTGTTGCCAGTTGCATTGTTCCGATTATTTCAGGAAAAAAGGAGGACATAATAAATTTTCTTAGCTCCGCTTGTAAATCACTGACATTCATTGACACGTTCGTAACTCATATTTGCCATAATTACATGGACTTATTACCAAATATTAGCTACATCATTTTAATAAGAAATAACCCACAAGCAATAACATTTTGACATTTCGGAAACCTCACGCTACACAAGCGCCCCTAGCGGCGGATTCATACGCGATAGCCCTTATTTACGTTAGATGTTAAATCACGTTTTTTATCGCGTCTCACTGTCAAACTCTAGTAATTTGACAGTGGAGCGTGATAAAACAAGTTATTTGACATATCGCGGTCCTCGTACTAGGGGGGCAGATGGCGGTGCATGCGCGTCGTTTTACGTAAATTTTTAAACAAATTAGAAAACAGACAGTTTTTTTATGTTTATGATTAACATACACTAGGCGTCAAAAAAATCGCACCTTTTAAAAATATTCTTCAAAAATTATTAAACCTTATTTAGAGAATAGTGTTGTGTATCATTAGAAAGGTAACAAAAAGGAGAATCAAGACAACATTAAATTCAACTTTTTATTTCATAAAAATTATACAAACATCATTAAAATTCAAAAAATAATAAAGAACCTTGCGTTTTAGATGATCCCAGAGGTGCTCTATCGGATTCAGGTCCGGACTTCTCGCTGGCCACTGTATCATAGAGATTTGGGACCTCTGTAAGAAGTCACTTACGATAGCTGCAGTGAGCGCGGGCGTTGTCGTGCATTAATGTGAACCCCTCGCCAAAAGATTCTACAAAGGGGACCACATGCACTTCCCGGATCTCTGTGACATAGCGGCGAGCCGTCAGCGACCCTTGTCCGCGAGCACTTCCAGTTCGGGAGACGCAGACAAGGTCGGTTTTGCCGGCAGCCATATCGCCCCAGAACATGCAGGATCCGCCCCCATATTCCACCGTCTCCTGGATGCAGGCTTCCGCAAAACGTTCACCTTGCCTCCGGTATACTCTTCTCCGTCGGTCGTTCGTCGTACAAGCAAACTGTAAGCGGGCTCGCCGATGCGCTGCTGTCAATTTCGGACCCGTAGCAGCTCTGTGGGCCGCTATCTTTTTCTCCTTCAGTCTTCTTCTTCTAGTACCGTAGAGACACTCACGGTGCGTCTACGAACTGCTTGAAGCTGCTGTTGCTGAAACTCAACAGCGTTAGAGAAACGATTTCTCAAAGAGTTCGACAGAATGAACCGGTCGTCTCCGGATATAGCCACCAGTCTCTATGAAGCGCTGGAATACTCTTGAAACGGAAAAACGGCTCAGGTTCAGTTGTCAGGCAACCAGGGCTTGTTTACTGGTTAATTTTCAAACCTAAATCAGTAGCGTAAGATCCCAGTGCCGCCAGACCTACGTCATTTTAGCAAAGATAATATGTCCATGATTTATAGTCTAGTACTTATGTAGTTAGGAGAGTATGCGTACTTACTAGCTCGAAAGTGGGGCCCTTTCACAGGTAGCGCGAACTAAAGGTGTTTCAAAACTGTACTCACCTACGTTAAAGTAGAAAGGCTCATATTTAAATATATTTTTGACAATATTATCAAAAATAGATAATCGTTATTGCCAGACCGTTTCTGTGGGCCATTACTTCCGCCAGACGTTATAAAGATTGTTTAAAAATTAGGTAAACTACGTCATTTTTAGCAAGCCTAAATTTGACATATATAACTACGTGGTACTATTTCCAGACTTTTTGTAAGCAGCCAGACCAACCAATGGGCCAATTATTCTCCCAGACACCTCAAAGTTTCCCTGTGAGTGCGAGCGTGAGGGCGTTATTCGTGCGCACGTGCGCTTTAATTCGAGTGAGAACACTATGTGTTTGGCGTTAGCGCATTGTTGTCATAGTTTGTCAAAAAGGGACACTAAATATACAGAACAGCGTTGTTGCCATAGTTACGTTACCTGTCTCTTGCTGGGGTCTATTTTTGTGAAAGATTATTTAGTATATGTTCGCGCAGCTGCTGTAACGTTTGTAACGCGAGTTATTTGTTTCAAAATTATAATATTTGAAGTGTTTGTGAAGATATAATGGCCAATTTATTAAATTGTGTTTTTTGTCATAAGTCTGATGGACATTTAATATTATTTACTGAAGATAGATTGAAACATTGTCAAAATATTTTAATGCTTAAAAAAAAACACAATTTAAAATTCAAAGATATTATTCTGCCTGCACGGACCTGAAAAAAAGACGGACGTAACCTCGTTTTATCTCGAGTGAAGCATGCAAAGGGCCGCCCGCTTACTAGTACAGTCAATCTGTTGGTTGAGTGGTGAAAAAAAAACCTAAAGGGTAAGTCTTGTTTTTTCTGTTGCCAAATGAAGTCAGTAAGCCACCTTGGCGATGGGCATGTTCAACTCGTAGGCGTTTTTTGAAAAACTCAAAAAAACCCTCAAAAAATTATTGAAACGCATTTTTCTTGTTTTGTATGCATTTTAGAAACTTTTTTTTCGACCATAATTGTAGAGGGCGTTGAGTACTACAATTTATGTCATTGTTGCAATCTCGTACAACAAAAAATGTGCATT